GAGACCCACACCGGGTGAACGGCATGGACCAGACTGCCCATCAGGCTTTATGCCGTGGGTCTGGTCAAACCACGGCGTAGCCAGGGGTCGATTCAAAGCCAAGCGAGCCAACAGAGATGCGTTGTGGGACATCCGCGTCGGTCCCGGGATGGTTCACCAGGTTTCGACCCCAATGCCGTTCTCGACCCGTTTCTTGGTGAAGAAACAGGAACCTCCAGTACGTCCCACCGACCGGAGCCGGAAAGACCATGGTTTGCCGCGCAAATCCTTTGAGCGGCCGCGGTTTCCTTGAGGTCACTGGTCGGATCTACATCCAGATCGCATGGACCATGTCCTGCAGTCGGACCTGGCGAAGGCTGAGCTCGTGGAAAAATCGAGTGAGGCATCCGCTGGTCATGGGGTCCCCACGCCTGGTTCACCAGGCATCCAGCGCGGCCTTTTCTCGGCCTTCAAAAAAGTGGTACCCGGGTGAACAAATCCCGATGGCTGAAGAGATTGGCTCTTGACAGGCTTGAGTTCTTGGACTTGGGCCAGGGTAAGACTTTCGAAAGATCAGTCTGCACGTCTGACAAAAGGCCCAAAATCCTCTTCCAACTGCGTGTGTCCAATGAACCTCGCCGACCCTCTCTTCGCTGAAGAAGGGGCTCTTGAGACATCCAGCCAACCACTGCAACGGCCTCCGCTCCAATCCGGCCTCGATTTGCGAGAACACTGGGATGGAACAGCTGCGTTGTTTTCGAAGTGTCACGCGATGTGGCCAAAGGGTGGATATCTTTGGGTTTTCCTTCTAACCTCATCTAGCCTCTACCTTGTGTATGATGTGTATGTCTGGATGCCAAATCCGCAAAGAGTTTCAGACGAGATGTCTTACCTTTTGGCGACCAAATTGGGTGAACCAGTCCGATGAGAGAGCCCCAACTTGGTCGTAGCGCACGTCGATGATCCTCTTTGCACATTGAACCCTGGGTGCTTTCCAAGGTTTTTTTCTGAGTGTCAACTTGTCAACTGGTCCAAAGCAACTGGAGGGGAGTCCGGTGAAGCAGTTTAAAGCCGGCTTGACATCACCCAAATCACAGATCGTGAAAAAGAAAGCTCCCAGATCATTAAAAGAATACTTTTCCCTCTGGCACTGGCCGCCGAGCCGCGAAGAAGTGGTGAAGAATGGGTCGGTGATGGTTGGTGCATCCAAGCGAGGAGATCACATGCGATCCAATTGAAACATCTGCAGATCGAGCTGTTCACCCTTCCGTGATGATGAACGAGACACTCATTGTGCACCCTTGGGTCTCGAACCGCGAAATGGATCAGTTGTTTTCAACCGCCTTTCTTTGGGGCACTTGGCACATGGGCTTGGCACATGGGCTTGGCAGATCTTGAACCACCATCCACAGTTTGACCATGTTTGACCGCTCACCGCGTGCTCACCACTTTTGACTTTCGTGGCTAGGAGTTGACAATTTGAAGTCATTGAACTCTGTGACTTGACACTCCGTAACAGAGTGTGACCAGAGGAATGCGTGCTCCGCCAAGTCGGAGATTTTCTCACGAGAGAAGAGCAGTCGACAGGGCAGACGACAGGGTGCCGACGACACTCGCTGTTGACGGATGTGGCTGCAGTGTTTTGACCTGATGGGTTGGTATGAGTCTACCATAGTCTACCCAATCTTCAAGGCAAAACCCATGTGTTTGACCACCAATTTTTGCGTTTGAGCTTTAAAACTCCAATGGCTCTCGAGTGACCATGATGAACCTTTGGTGCAGACCATCCTGAGGAACAAGCGAGGTCCAGCACAGGAATGAAGGAAGGACCTCGTGTCCGGAGGAAACCAGGACCTACACTTCAGAACGACCTCGTGACCCCTAGGGTCTCATCATCAGGTTCATTGAAAAAGCATCGAACGCATCCAACTGCAGTCTTGATTCTTTGGAGAAAGATTACCCCCAAAGTTGTATGATTCTGGTACCAGGTTGTTGATTCTAGTTCTTTGATTCTCTTCAAACCACCCCCCAAAAGACATGAGATAGACAAGCCCATCATGCCGAAACAAGCCCATCCGGTGGAGATCTCTCCCTGCCCCTCGGACCACGTCTCTTTCGGATGACGTGTGTCGCGACCGCATGCGGGACGGACCTGTTCCGAGAGACGTGTGTTCCGAGTCTTAGAGAAGTGGGCCCCGAAGGGGTACAATGTTCAGAGGTTAAGACATGTTAAGAACCAGACTCGACCCAAGAACCGCAAGGACCTCCAATTCTGGTCTTCTAGTCCGCATATGGGGTTTGCTTCTGTTTCTCTTTCGGGATCCACCGTTTGGGCCCGACGCCAAACGACGACACCCATGCCGTGTGACGGACCGATGGGTTTTTCACTGATTGGCCGGAGGAGCACCGCAGTGCGAACCTCCCAGGAGATAGAGCTCTAAGTAATGGCCTTGAACTGTGTTGCTAAAGGAGCATTTCAGAAAGTGATGGGATAGGCAGGCTTACTTCAGTCGGCCAAAATATAGTTGATCTAGACTTCTAGGGATCAGAATTTAAGAATTCTTTTGACGCGAACACTTGTTCCCCTGAGCTCACCGAGGAAAGATGGAACTCTCGTTGAAAAAAGTGCATCATTTTGTGACAGAGGCATCCCAGGTCACTAGGGCTTCACACCTTTGTGGGTCAGCTGCCCGAAGATGCTGATGTAGGGGTAGGATCTCGACACTTTACTAAAAAGACAACATGAACGAGAAGCTGAGATTCCCGAGTTTTCGTTTTTTGGCGACATGCTTGCAGACAAGCTATCTTGCAAAAGCAACAGGTTCGATATATACATGCAACAAGTTCCCAACGGTCAGGATGTTGTAATGAGGCGACCATGTGATTTCTTTTTTCTTTGCTCAACATGAAAAATCGCCTATAATTGGTGTTTTGATGCTGGATGGTTCAGAACGGAAGAACCAATCAGTGGTTAGGCCAAATCAAAAAAGGAGACCTCTACAGTTTGGTTTTGTCTCTAAGCTAACCTTTCTTAGGTGCCACAAGAACAAGTGGTGTTTTCTCGTTTTTGGGGTTTCAGGGTTTCATGGTGGGCCTCATGCAAGAAAACCACTCGATCTCGGCGGACCAGGTCTGCCAGCTTTCTGTGTGATTCACAGATCCTCCAATGAGGATCCAAACATCTCTGCGGCACAGTTCCCCTGGAACGACGCCTCCAAGGTTAGCCTCGCGCGGATGGGTCAAGGACGGATTCAGCCACGCGGATCGGTCGAGACGGTCTTCTTCTGAACTTCTAAGGACGCATTCCAGGAAAAACAACCTTCCAAAGCAAAAGGAGCACTCGGTAAAAACAGACAATTATGGTCACTTGGCATCTTTCTTTTTTTGGGTTCAACCGTGGAATTTCATCCTTTGACACCACAGAAACTCCTCCTTCGACTATGGTACGGTGGACCATTTCGACAAGGAAGCCTCAAATTCATATCCCAAAACCCATGCTCGCTCAGATCTATACCATGATCATCCATGATCTATCAATTGCGTCCAATAATGAATTCGGTCTCCGAAAACGAAACCGTTGTAGTTTTGGGATCGCTTCGCGATGGCGCAGAATTCGAGCGATGGAGCTTTCTTCCAGAGACCCATCAAACCAACCGCAGCGGAGGGTTGGACGTTTGCTTTGCTTGCACTACTCTTCCGTTTTCCGGAGACGTAAAACAACAGCCGGAGGGTCCTTGACTGAGCAGACGAGAGAAGAAACAGATCGGAGAGAAGGCCGTGACATCGACCAAACCATGCGCAATTGGCATGTTCGCAACGTGGTGGGTGCGCTGTAAGCGCGCGCCCACGGTGCGATTCACCCTCACATTTTCCATCTCACCCCGGAGCATTGGCATTCCCAGGCAAGAGTTGAAGGGGTAGCAAAAGTGGAGGATAGACCCAAGTTTTGTTCCTGAGTGATGGGATATAGATATGACTTATCACTTGTCACGAGTCATGAGTTATTTGTCAAAGATGATTCAGATGACAAATCTTTGTCAGAAGTTGGATCATTGAACTACACCTAGGGGATCATCAAGACATCCTTGTGCAAGAGAACAGCAAATGTTTGCCAAGCCCATGTGGATTGCCCATGATTCCCCCAAACAAGCCAGACAAACACGCACGAACTCCCAAGACTGAAGAGTGTCAGCAACTAGTCCTCCATTTGGTGCCCCAGATGTTGATCGCTTCTGCGATCCTGTGCTTCTTTGCTTCGTCAGTTCGCAGAAGTTCGCTCTCCGGATGTCTGTGAATTAGATGGGCCAACAGCCCACCACAGGTGGCCTCTTTGTGAACTATGAACTCTTCAGATTTGGTGCGTATGACTTGAGACGAGGAACGGTACGTGCGGTGAGATTTGGCATCCGAATCCTTCCACTGCACGGGATACAAAATCATTCTTGTGTCGGAGAGTTTTTTCCATGCATCTTCCACTGCAGGTTTATCTGCAGGTGCTGCTGGGCAGAATTTTGCTCGGATTTTGCTCTCCACCCATTTAACTCCTTGCTCTGCCTGGGAAATGACGGCGTCGTGCGGAGGGGCAGAGCTGGGGATGCGGATGGTTCTTTAAACGCATGTTGTTACAGATTCTTATGCTCATTGAGGACCCAACACCAACGTAGAAACCAACGTGTCTTTTGGAGTTACTTGTAGATTGCTAGATTGCTGGTTTGCTGTGATGAAAGGTCTATTTGACCCGGTCAGTATTGGTCAGTCTGGTCAGTCCTCTTCTTTTCTGCTGAACTGGTGGAGATTGCACCACCACCGAAACTGTTGAGTCGATTGAATCCCACCAGCCAAAGCAGTTGAATCCCACATCCGCCTCCAGGTTTTGGAGTCTGGACGGTTGGAGTCTGTGTGGAACGGTTTTGGATGGGATGGAACGGTTTTTGTGCATCGCAACGAGCTGCACTTTGAGCTTCGAGCTCGCTGCTTCCTTGGAGCGGACACGACACCCCCAGCTGAACGGCTGCACTGAGGCATGAAGAACTTGACGGTCTCCTCTCCTTGGTCCTCGGGTACGACGCTGAAAGACGCACTGCTCGAGGAGGTGGGCGGTGGGCAGTTGGTGGTCTTGTTGCGAGGTCTGTGTTTGATGTGCGTGCGTTTGCCAGTGGGCCCTACTTGTTTCCCATGAACAATATGTCAAGGTGTTCACAGGCAAAGACATGCAAAAACAAAGCTCTTTTGCTAGGAAAAAAACAACGGTTTTTGATGGTTTTTGATGGTTGGCGGGGCTGGTGTGTCCGTGGTCTTTCTGGTGCTGAGTCAAGGTTTGATGTTGCATGGCTCTTCCTCTGAAAAGAAAGCAATTCAAGAGGAGGAGAAGGGACCCACCATCCCACTTGCATGGGGTTGACATGGGCGTGAGTCAGAACTGCCATTCGCAATGAAGCTCCCCCCAGTGAAGAATGGGAATTGAGATGAGGAACGTTACTATGGACAGGACATATTTGTTTCGGTTCCCACATTCATACTGGAGATGTAACTTGCAAACTGTGGACGACCATCCATCAGTTGAGCTCAAGTTGAGAACTTGTAGACTATGTAGACTTAAAGGGTACTTGAATATATACCTGTATCCTTTTAATATCTATTTGTATCCTCTTCATCGGGGTGAAAACAATGAACACCTTCATCAACCTTCCATCCATCACCCACACCACGCTGCAGGGCCAAACGGTCTTGGTCGACTCCCTGGGTGAAGTGACGGTGAGCTTGAGACCATTGGAAGCTGTGGTGTTGGATCCTTGGAGACACAAACCCAACGGAACCGCAGGAACCGCAGGAACCGCAGGAACCTGGAACGGGCGTTGGATGGCGTTGGTGAACTCTTCTTCATGAATATTCTTGATGAATAAAACTTCTACCAGACGAGTTATTTTACATATGGGGTTTGATGAATTAGCGGTCTACATGACTGGCACCACCAGTGTCAGATGGATGTCAGCGACAGATTGGTCCAGGTGTAAAGCAGGGAATCGCCAATATTTTTAAACATGACAATCCAAGGGGACTTACTTGTCGTAGAAATCATCCAATCGCAACACATGTTCATTTGGGGACCACTCATTTTGCTGCCTTCTTGGGGCGTCCGCTCGCTTGGTCGTCCAAAGATTATCATTTGCACCATTTGAGAGTGAAGATATAAGTTTCTTCTTCAGCTCGTCCTATGTCTATACATACGATGAATTGGCTGTCTCAGATAGTTTTTTTCTTCTTTTTTCGGGCGTTCTTCTGGTTGGTTGCCATGATGACATTCACAGACACAGACAGGAGGTACAGCGGGTCGTCACAGTCCAAGGTGCCAGCGCCTGTGATCACGTTGGCTCCCGCTCCCTGGATTGAGGGAAAGATCGGGCGCGCTCGCCACGATCGGCACGATCGCCTTCCCGAGTGGATCTGTGGATCTGCGGTCAGAAAAGAAGAGACCCAACTCAACAAGAAAAGGTGGATTGTGCGGCGAACGGTTCATTTTTCCAGCGCATGTTTTCTGCGCGTTTCATCTCGGAACTGGATGGGGCCCACTAGGACTGGCGGGTTCGGAGTAGATGGCACAAGGACTCCCCATGCTCCGCAGTCCTCACAGGATCCTCACATCGGTTGCTTCGAAAATCCACGAAACCCTATACTCGGGTGTTTCTTTTTGGGATGGTAAACACAGTGAGTGAGGGGTGTCTATATTGATCCACCTGAACTTCGTGGTGCTGGTAGACACAAGGTGGTGGATCTGTCAGGCTTCTCAACGAGGTCATTTTGAAGAAAAATGACACACTATTTCTTCCAATCACCAATCGGATTCGGTCTGCCGTGCAATCCAAAAAGTGTTGTTTTGTTTCTCTTTCAACTGAGATTCTTCAGAAACCCATATATTGAATAGAAAAGCGGATACTCCGGAAAAGAACCACAGACTCTCTACAAGTCTTGATGTTAGTTGTTTCAGCTACAGTATTTTCTTTTCTTTGGTTCTCACTGAACCGCCTTTCCTTTGCGATGCATTGCCGGGGGGTGTTGACCTCGTTTTTCTTCCAACTCCTCGAACTCTCTCGCCCGCCCGTCCCTCCTCCTCGCGCTGTGAGGTCATCTTGTCGGTGTCGCCCCAGCACGGGAGCGTGGTGGAGTGGCCGACGGGACATTCCTTCAAAGTGGCTCTCCGAGCCCCACGGCCGAAGCACTGCTCCGCGGGTCGGACGGTCGGGCGGTGGATGGTCGCTGGGGACTGGACTGGGGGATAAGGTGGAACAAGGTGGAACAAGGAGGGTTCCGAGGGAGGGTCTTGATTTTTGGATGAAGCCATTGGCTTTTTCTTGCACGCACATGGGGGGGGAGAAGACTGATTTGAGGCTGGTTGACCTGTGCCATTTTGCCTCGACTGCTTCCTCTGTGGTCACCCAGGTGATGAGCTGAAAGAGAAGATGATGTCCTTCATGATACAGTGAAGACTCAAGATCTGAACCTTTTGTGGGGGGCGGGAATCCCGAATTGAACTTTTCCCTGGGGCTCAAGATGCAGGAACAACCTTTAAGTAGAAAAAAACCCAGCAATCATCAGCAATCCATGCTTGGGGTCATCCAACCTCACATCGACTCGACTGTGATTCTTCCCTTTTTTTTGCGTGACAGTGTGTGTTCACTTTGAAACTGAAGATCTTTGAGACACATGGACCCTCGCATGTCACCGGTCATCCCCATGTCACCGTCCTCGCCCGCTCCGCGCCGTCCAGGTGAAGTTCGATCGCCCGATGAAGCCGTCCATCTTGGACTTTCTCCGGCTCAACGGCCAGGCGTGGCATGCGATGTGGGCCAAGGACTCGTGGCACAGAGCGTGAGGATGGGTCCGGACGTGTGGGCAACAGGTGACCCAGTTGCCTAATGGGTAAGGCGTCGTCTTTGCAAGCTGTTTGCCCTTGCGGGGGCTGCACACTGCTTGACAAGCACGAAGTTGGAGGTTCAAATCCTCCCTGGGTCGTTTGCTTCCCGCAAGTGGCTTGATCTATTTGGGAGTGCGATGGTAAGTCTACCAGTTTATTGTTTACAACTTGCTCGGCAATGTTGATCTGCATCACAGTCTGGTGTTGGGGTTGTTTGGAGCGGACTTTGAGGGGGGATTTGGCTTGGACTTCTGTCACCAGAAATGATTCACGTGGTAGCTGCCGAGAGTGCTTTGTGTCACTTCCACGTTTTGTTTTGCTTTGCATTTAGCCGCGCAGCTATGTGCCCCTAAACCACCCATGTCGTTGCAGAGCTGAGTGCTCCATCGTCTTCCTCCACTGGGCCTTTGTGGGGGGTGGTAGATCCACAGCAGTGAACCAAAGCAACTGGATGATTCCCCAACACGTCAGGGGAAATCTCTTCACTCGGTCCGCCGTTCCTTTTTTCGGGCGGGGACACCAAAATGGGGGGATTCGCCCAAGAAAGACCTTTTGGATCCTTTTGGCAGATCCCACTTACTTCGCCTTCAGTCGGCAGCGGTCTGCCTTCACCGGTCAAGCAAAGCGGCCGCGGCTTCGGTTTCGCAGGTGACCGCTGGACGTCGTGAAGGCTTCCGGTGTTTAAACCCAGTGGCCTGTGCCTAGGAAGGAACGGCCGCACGTGCGGAATGGCCAAGGTGTATAGACCAGATACACTTGACCAGGGTGCGAGACAACCCAGACACGCAGGTCCAGACGTCCAGACACCAAAGTTGGAAACTGGAGGGCCCGGATTCTGCCAGAATTGACCAAGCAGAACAGCCGTTTGATGGAGGGCCGTGGTGCTCAAGACGAGGCGACCTGACGACCTGAAAGTCTCAATGATTAACTTCAAAGCCTTCAGATTCACGACACACTGGAATTCCTGGTCGGGATAAACACCAGCACCTTCATGTCGGGGTCACCTGGCTGGAAGCCCCTACACTACCTAGGGATCTCCAGCCAGGACACCCCTTTGAAGGTCCAGGCAGAAAACCTTTTTTGGAGAACTGGCTGCATTTTGAAGGGGGCAACAAAAGAGTTTGACCCAGAGCGAGCAGTCCAAGTGATCCTCGAACGTGTGGATGTAGAAGCATGATGGAACCCCTGTGGTTGACGTAGTCCTCGTTTTTCCATCACAATTTGTCTCTCTTAGCACCCAAAGACGCATCCGGAGTCTTCTAGGTGTCCTCACACCTTTGAACGAAGCACGTCTAGGAAGATGAGGATGAGGACTAGGAACCTGTTTTGGTTGGAGGGCAGGGTATTTGAGATAGCTGCGTGCCGTAGGGGGTCGCTGTTCCACCATCAGGCGGCCCTGCGACAGGCGTGTGAGCCTTGCACACAACTGATGAAGAACAATTTTTGGACGATAGGACTCCAAAGTCTGAGGATGCAACAGCCGCGCACGGCGATCATTTTGGCCGTAATTACCTCACATGAAATCCATGTTTTCAAACGATTGCACATGGCGGTTTTCTCAACCCCCCCAGACATTCACCTCACGTGATCCCTATTTTTGGTGGATTAGAGTCGAGGGGATTTTTGGATTTTCACCGTCTAGGTGAAGCCGAGCCTGGACCCTGGAAGTCAGAAGACCATGTTTTAAATGGTTGATCTGGTTTTGTAGTGTAAAATCCTTAAGTAAACCAATGGTTGTTCGAATGCTAGGGTGAAGCCTGTCCATTGAGGTGATGAAGTGATCCTCGAGATGGAGGCCGGGAGCCTAAACGCCATCCTCGGATGCCGGGGAGCCATACAAACACCCCGTTTTGGGGAGCAGATTCTGTGGTGCATTTTTCCCGAAAGCATTGCGAAGGGTTCTTCCGGAAAATCCTTTTGAACACTGACACTTCGACACTCACACTGACACACTTACACTTCGACACTCACACTGACACACACACACACACACACACTGGAAGAGCGAAAGCATCCAAGTGCGAAGTATGCCAGTGTCAAAGTATGCAAGTGTAAGTATGCAAGCATGATATGCAAGGGTGAGTATGCAAGCACGCAATGACTATGCAAGCATGCAATGAGTAGGCAAGTGTGAGTATGGAAAACTAGCACGGGAGATGTCCTAATGAAAAAACATTTTCCCACTTTATAAATTCTCTCTTAAAGGCGGAGTGCGGGACGAACAGCGTCAACCGAAAGTGCAACCCTCTGCGGAGATCGTGCGTGTCGAGTGCGCGAAATGCAGG